TGTGTGTGTGTGTGTGTGTGTGTGTGTGTGTGTGTGTGTGTGGCTTTGAAATCTGATTCCTTCTTGTCACAAGTAGACAAACATAGCCGGTACCCCCCCCCCCAAATTGACAACTTTTTGATGGTGGTTTCTCCAGGTTTAGTTTGTGCCTTCATCCTGGCGATTTAACTGCTTCTTCACCAGCCCCCACATCCATTTGCAAGCCTGGCCTCTGGCCATCAGGCAGGGCAGGGGCAGCAGGAGGGCCTTGCTCTCAGTGGCAGGAGGACTTTGGGCTGGGAAAGGCGCATCTCAGGAAAGGGGTCCTGACTCTGGGGACCTCAGCACCTGTGGCTGCTGCCAGTCGCCTGCTGCGGGCCTGACATTGTCAGGGCCATGGGGCTCTGACTTAAAGGGGAAGGAAGGCTCTGGCCAGGAGGCAGGTAATTGTAGGGAGGATGAGGGAGAAAAGGTGGATGTGGTTGGTGGCCAGACACCGCACCTCTGGGTCCAGTCCTGCCCCAGGAGTGGGATGAATGTGTCTGCCACATGTGCCCAAGGTGGGTTCTCTGGGAGCACCACAGTGCCCCAAACAAGATGCAAGCTCATAACATAAAGAGACATGTCTGAGCTGTGGGGTGAAGGAAGGGGGGCGGTGGGGGAGAGGGAGAGAGATTTTTATCAAAATTGAACACAGATTGCTGAGGTCTGGGCTTGATTTAACTCTTCTCTCTCTGCTTTGGCCACTTTTCCACAGCTCTGTGGCAGATTTGCAAAGTTCCTGGGAAGGTGGGCAGGAAAATCATGCCTCTCTAGGAAAGAGGCCCCGGAGGTTTTTCTTGAAGCCAACATGGGAATGAAAGCAACTTCCCATCTTTGAGAAGCTTCAAGCTTTGTGTTTCCCCCTTGCAAGTTTGGTGTCCGCTTCTTGGATTTCTCTGAGAAGTTGGCTGATGGAGGGAGTGGATTCTCTCTAGAACGCAGAGGGGGAGCTATGCTCTCCTGAGAGTGGGAGGAAAGGGGGCACAGGCCAGCAGCCCTGGATTGCCCAATGCACGGCACTGGATGTCAATAGCTGGGTTCAACAAACCAGTGACCACTAAGAGAGCCCTTTCAGCTTTGCCCTAGCCTGGTCTCTGGTTTTGTATTTTGCAATAGAGCCAACCTACAATGTTTGGGTGGGAGGAAGATTACTGGACTCTCCCTGTGTCCTAGAAAAATGAGAGAATGAAGGGACAAGGAGGAAATCTGGATGTCAGAATGGACCCACAGGAAGTTGGAGATTTGGGAAAGATTTTAAAAATTATACAAATTGACCCCTAGGGAAACGCTATAATAGACGGAGCAGACAGCAAAGTCAGAAATAGACTCGTTCAACTTCAGGAGTACATCCTCTACTTAAGGGTAATGAAGAAGGAAATGACTTTAATGGCAGTGTAAACACGTGTGTGTAAATAGGGGGAGCTGGGGTCCTGTGAGATGCACGTGCAGGCACATGTTTACGCATTTGTGACTGTGTCGTGATGGTCGTGGCCTTGGGGCCTGGAAGCATCTACAGCCCATTTCTCATCTGTGCTGGGAGCTGCTTATGACCCCCCATTTCTTTCTTTAAAAAAAAGAGGCAACTGTGCTGTTTTTGTCTTGCTGCCTGGCAGTTGCATGCTCTGGCTGCTAGCTCCGAGCTGAGTTTTCAGAGCTTTTCCTCTAGATGCCGGGATGCTGAGGGAATACTCGTGCCCCCAACAGGACAAAAAGAGGAGAGAAACTTCTCCTGGGCATTACAACTATAAGGCAGTCAGGCGTTCATTCGGGAAGGGGGCGGATGTGAGGGCCGGACTGGGAGGAAGGCCCATGAATGTTTTTTCTTTTGGTGAGTATGCGGGATGTTGAAAGACTCCTGCTTTTTGTAAGAACATGGTCCCTCCCCAGTCTTCTTTCCTAACCTCCTGCCCCCAAAGTTTTGGTCACCAAACAGGCTAAACTCTCCCCTTCTCTGAAGAGCCTTGGATCCAGGGGTGAAGGAGAGGGTAAGCCTAAGTGCCACCGACCAAAAGGGCACAGAGATAAATCAGTGGGGCAGAGGCTGGCTTCTTTGGTTTCAGTGGAGCCGGTGGAAGGAACGATTCTAAATGTTCTTGCTTATCCCCACTATTTACAAATAGAAGGCTGAATACCCAGGGATGGCGGGGACTCATCGGAGCTAGACTCCTAGAAATATCCTAATCCCAGCACAGGGCTCCTTAGGGAGAGAACTGGCCTTTCAAGGTTTTCATCATGTGGGTTTCTCCAGAGGGTTGGTGGAATCCTGACCCCTCTGGGAGACATTTCACCAACTTGAGACACATTCCCAGGCCACAGATGCTTGGGCTGATGCTGCAGCCTTCTCATTGTGCTTTCCGTCAGCTCAAGCTCTGGCCAGATCTTCAGCCATCTCTGAGATCAGAATACTTAGGATCCTTCTCAGGCTCTCCTGAAGGCCCAAAGGGCAAACACACCTGGCAGAAAGACAACTTGGAGGGTGTGCTTGGCTTTGATAGCAGATAACCCTCTAGGTCTCCACAGCCAAGGGTCTCTGTGTTCAGGGATCCCGTGTCCTTCGGCTCTGGACTGCAAATGCAGCCTGGCACAAGGTAAAGACTGCCCTGGGAGAGGATACATTACTTATCCCTATGAGCTTCAGTGCCCTCATCTGTAATATGAGGATAATATTTACCTCACAAGGTAAATATTTTAAAAAAATGATATTTATGCAAAAGGACTAACGCAGAGCTAGGAATGTTGTGGACCCTTAATAAATGGCCTATCATAATAATTTGTTTTCAGCCATCAGGAGCCTGATGCTGGGAAAGGACCTGTCCCCAAGTCTAGCTACGTGTTTTCCATGACTGAAGGCCAATGGGTGGAGTTTCTAGGGCTCTGGTCACCTTGACTTCTTCCCTCCTGAAAAGGTGGCTGTTGGGGATTACCCATGAGCGTGCCTGGCCCATTATCCTGAGGGGTGGGAAGTGGCACCAGACATCCTGGATATCTGGCCTGGAAACCACTCCTGTGTCTGTGAGCTCTCTAGGGAAGGAGAAGGGCAGCAGAACAGGTTGGATGTGTCTGGTGGGGATGGGGCAGAAAGAACAAGAATCAGTTGCGTCTTGAAGAACAAGCCTGAGGTGTGAGGTTGGTTAGGCAGCCACTGCTCCTCAATGTACTGAGGTCAGAGTAAGGGGAGAATCTGATGGGTTGTAAAGGATGGAAGCTTTAGCTCCGCATAAACATCTCCGGTGGTTGTAGGGTGGGGAGGCTGCCCCCTGAATGACACACTGTCTCAGGGGAGTGGCCAGTCCAGTGACTGAAGGAGCATCTGATGCTGGGGAAGAGCAGCTGCAGGTTCTCTTGGCCCATCTCAGAGCTTCTAAGTTATCTTTCAATTTGACATTTAAGACTTTGAGGATCACATTTGTTTCTGTTTTGTTCAAGCTCTCTCTTTAACCATGGCCTGGGATGACTTTTCAGCTTTTAAGAGGCTCAGCCAGTGGCCAACTTCTCTTGAGATGACCCAGATTGGGGGTCAGTGAATTCCTCACTCCTGGCAGTGTCTGTTTCTCCAACTCTCTTCTCACATTTTTTGGGTTGTTTGTTTTTTGTTTCATTATGAGGTTATAAAATTGCACTGTCAAGATGTCGTGTGGGGAGAAAATGCCTTTTCTTTGGATCTGTGTATCATGCTGGTGCTCTGCAAGGCTTATCAAACTGTGGGCACTAACAGGTGTCATGGGCTTCCTTCTGGGGCTCCCCCCCCCAAAGAAAAACCTGGAGAAATAAAGTTTAAGAAGTTTTGTATCTCTTTGAATCTTGGCCAAAGAGGAACTCAGTTATTTGTAGGATGGTTCTATGGCAAAAGCTTCAGAACCAAGTAGACCCAGTTTTGAGCTCTGGTCCCACTGGGTCACCAGTTATTCAACATCTCTAACTCTTCTTCATCCGACAAATGAGAACAATAATTATTCTCATTTCCCAGGTTGTTCTGAAGATGAAATGTAATGATATATATGAAGGACCTAGCAAGCTGCTCGGTGTTCAGGAAAATGTTAATGCCTTTCTCCTGTCTAATTCTAAGCTCATGAAAATACATGGGTTTGGTCATTTGTTCATAAGTTGAAGTAAATAAGCCACTTATTCAAGGCTTAACAACAGCACTCAAAGGTCAGCTATCTCAGCCTGGAGATGGAGACCTTTAATACAAAAGTGGGGCACAGATCGGCACTCCCCATGCCAAACAATGGTAGCCATGTGACCCTTTACTGAAATAAAGGAAAGGCCACCCACTCACTCACCCACAAACCTGGGCTATTAGTGAGCTCGCCATAGAGCTTATTTTAGAAACCCCAAGCCCTGTCTTTGTTCAAAGAGCCCAAGTCAAAACTGGGGAGAGAAATCATTGAGGCAGTGCCTAACTTTAAAACCTAATAACAATGGCACAATGACAACAGAACCTTACATTTGTATACCATTCTATGGCTTGAAAAGCACATGGCTTCATTTCATCATCATAACAATCCTATGAGATTG